CATATGTTCTAATCTTATAAATAAAGTTTCTACTATGGCATTATAATAAAAAAAAAAAAAAAAAAAAAAAAAAAAAAAAAAAAAAATACAATAAACTAGAAAATATCTCTACATAGATTTAAAGCTATGCTATCAATATATCATTTACAAATTATAGAATTAAATTTTCTTTATTAGAATGATAGTTAGAGCATTTTAAAAATACACTGATTTTATAATAAAATTACTATGTAAATTTTTTCACTTAGTGCGCTATTCATATAGTGCTGCACTATATAAATCATTTGGCATATAACACCCCAATACTTATTATGTCTCTCGATTTTTTCTAATTTGAGCAGAGTTATATGTAACAGGCTATCTTGATTTTTTCCTAATTTGATTATTAAATTTAATGAGCATTTCTTGATTTTTTTTCTTTCGTAATGAGCCACTTACCATTTTTTTTTTTTTTTTTTTTGTTAGTCCACAATTTTTTAATCAATTACTTATACATTTTAACTTAATATAGATTACGATTTGTTATGTAAATAATATTAACCTGAAATAAGAAAATAGTATCAGTATCATGATCAAATAACTATATCGATATGGAAATTAAATTTATTAATATAAAAAATAATACAACCATATGATTACTATACGTATTCGTTATACATATATTGAAAAAATAATCTAGCACTACGTACATATTCATAATAAACGATATGTACAAACTATATGTCTGGCTTAATATGGTAATCATTCAGAGTCCAGATTATTAGACTCCAAGTATTGGATACCAATGTTAAAATTGTATTTTTCGTTCATAGTTTTGCGCGATAATGTTGCATAGCTACCTTTTTTATATATACCCATGCGAATAAGCTTTCAAAAAAGTACAGGTTGTTACGTAAGACCTATACGATAACATATTAGTGTACTCAAAATAAAAATAAAATAAATAAAAAAATAAAAATAAAATAAAATAAAAATAAAAAAAAAATAAAAATAAAATAAAAATAAAATAAAAAAAAAGACAAAATGTTAAATAAAAATAAACTTTTAATCTTTCATTATGAAACTAGATATTCAGATTTGACTATAGATTCAATGATTATATTTGGCATTTGTCTTTGAACATGGATCGGTATTTAAAAAAAGTAATAATATTATAACTATTTTATTTTAACGTCTGACTTAATTAGTTACAAATAGAGATATAATACCGTAACTTGTCATAATTATAATGAGTTTGTGATATTTTTTTCTGTAACTCATTATAATCATGATAGGTTATAGCATTATATTCATATCTCTAGTTACAATATTATAAACTTCTCTTGATAATAAAATTTTATGAGTATAATAATATCTTAAAATTGCAAATTTTTTGCTTAATAAAATTTTTTGAGTATGATAAAATCTTGACAAAATAAATCGTAACAAAATCGTGACAAACTCGTAATAAAATTGTAATTTTTGCATGACGAAATTTTTGAAATTTACTCTTATAAAAAGAACAATTTTTTTTTTTTTTTTTTTTTTTTTTTATCTTTTTAACTTATATTTCTTTTTTTCAAAAAATGATTCCTAAAAAGCAAAAAACGATTTCTGAAAGTGAACCATTATCCTATCCGCAGGATAACTCATTCGACAACCTTAATCCTCAACCAAACCTGTCCAACAATAATTCTGTTCAACAACAACCTCAATCCTCTGCTTGACGATCCCGATCCCGATCCCAATTCCGAACTATCCAACAATCTCAACAATCCCATCAATCTCAATCCAGACCAGTATCTCCTCAATATCAATTGACATCTCAACCTGTAGCATATAAATTTCAACAAAGTCCAATTATTATTCCTGGTATTATTTTATAAAAAAATTTAACATGCTATACAGAATCAAACTTTCAGTAACTATGTAGTGACTACATCGTAACGATATCGTTACGATGTAGTCATTATATAGTTACTGAAAGTATATAGCTAGATTTATGTTAATTAATATATTTTTTTTTAAGACCTTAATACAGTGTTAAATTATTTGGAACATTACATTCACAACGATCACTTCACAACTTTTTCGGCTCTGCAAAATAGATTTGGTTTTTTAACAAATGATCTAGTTAATGATGGCGTAGATACTATAATAACTGTTCTTTTCCCAAATACTTCAAGACGATCACGATCATCGACTCCAACCCTATTACAATCATCGACTCCAACACTACCAGAAAATTTTTATTTTGAGGATATTAATGACTGGTCATATTCGCTGCCACGTCCAATTGAGCCAAGTGATGATTACGAAGCAGAAATACTCAAGGAAGGATTAAACCTCCCCTCGGCTTATTTTGAAAATGGTAATTTCCTATTCATTCTACGTCGCGCTCACGACGTACCTGCGTTGTTCACTTCTAAGTCTGGAAAAACTATGACGTCTATGCAACTCTGTAATTACTATGCAGTCAATAATGTAATAGTCATATATTTGAATTAATGTTATGGCTAGAGTGTCCAGAATTATGCAATTTTAGGAATTTTTATTGTTTAAACAATGAAAAATTCCTAAAATCGCAGAAGTCTAGACACTCTAATTATGGCTAGTCATAAGACTAACTGGTTGGTTGTTTAAACATCACGTATTATTGACCATTGAAAAATAATTTTTTTATATGCAATAATGCGTGACAGTTAAACAATTTCTTTAACTCCAGTTAGTTTCATTACTATTTATGGTTAATACTATTTTAAAATGAGAGCTGCACAGGGAAAACCTGTAAGTAAAATTTTATTCGTTAATCACTATGCCGATCTTAATAATTTGGCACTGGGGCATGACTAATAATAAGGTATGACAAATAAATATTTATTATTTAAACTATATAATAAATGATTATTTGTCATTCATAATGATTGGTTATACCCCCAGTGTCAAATTATTAAGATCAGCATAGTGATTAGCGAATAAAATTTTACTTACAGGTTTTTCCTGTGCAGCTCTCAAATAGTGAAATATTACTAAACATAGTAATATTTTATATATCGTTATTAAGAAGTTTCCGAAATGGATTAATGAACTTTTTAGGAATGAAATGCACGCATTATTCATCCGGTATAGGAATCTTGACGATGCCAGAACAAATGGAATTATTAAAAAATTCTTAAAAATTTTGGTTCCGAAAATAGGTGAACGAAATTTTGATGATGCAGCATCAAAATTTCGTTCCACCTTTATTGAATGGCGGCACGTCTTTTGGAGTAGAATTAATAAATTGTACGAAGAATTGCAAAAAAAGGTGAAAAGATAAAGTAGTAATTTATTATTATTATTTTATATATATATATATTTTTATACTAATATAAGGCGTTTTTTTTTTATTATCTAATGATGATATCGATAAACTTTTTTCTAAAATAACTGCAAATGATGTTTAAAGAGTGTGGCAACAGTTCCTTATTAATATTAATATTTCTGCGATTCGTGATAAATCTAATGACTCAAATAATTTTGAAAAATTACTTTTAGATATAGTGCGTGTTGGCATATGGGCGATAATTTTTTATGATTCAAAAAATGCTCAAGCGGTATTTTTTAATTTGAATAATGACCTATACACAGTCAATTTGAATGTTTTAACCCTTAGTGATTGGAACGTTGCTATATCTATCGATTTAAGTCGATACCATTTTAATGTTCAAAGAGGTATCGATATCGTTTAAATAGTTTTTTTTTTTTTTTTTGCTTTTTTTTCTGCTTTTTTTTTTTTTAATTTATTTTTTGTTTATTGGAATTTTTGAACTTACTGTACTATTATTACAAAGTAATAAAAATTTAATCATTAAGGCTGCATAAAATTATATACCTGGTTTTCATATTATGGAACAGTGATTAGTAACGCGAGCGCACGGCTTTTTTTTTTTTTTTTTTATAATAAAAAAATTTTTTAAATCATCAAAATAAAATTATGGTTTATAAAAAATATATTTTTTTTATTATTGTCCTTCGGAATACCAAATATGAATATGTTGTCGACTAAGTAGAGATAGGAATCGATTTAGTTGACTAAAAATTTATATGTAAATTACTATGTTTAGTCGATTTAGTCGACTAAATCTTATAGCCGATTCCTATCCCTACTTTAGGGCGCAGCGGGTTTTATATGCATAATGAGGCTAAGCTAACTAAAGCCAATGAGCTGCAGCTTAAGTTATATCACAGCATCAACTGCAACTGAATCAGCTATTATGTAGCTACAGTAATAATGGATTTTTAAAACAATATAGTAGTATTTAAATAAGACATACAAACGTTAACAACTCTAAAAATTCTTTAATAGATTGAAATTAGTTTGCAAAACTCATCATTATATAATGTACAGGTTATCACATGATATTTCAATTAAGTATATTCCAGTATTTAGAACTTTTCTTATTTAAGCAATTGAATGTTATAATCAATATTGATATATTAATTAATCTCTCGTTTAAATTTTTATTCATATTCATTTAAGGTTCTCAAGCACATAAATTAATAGGCGGAAGTAGTTTTAACCGGAAATAGGTTCATTATCATGATGAAAACAAAAAGTTTGAAACACCTTTTTTTGTTATAGACTTGTTCTGATTGGCTAAAATTTTATTAGCATTATGAATCTTCAGCAAAATTATATAAGGATTACTTCAATTAATCGTAGTACGTATATACTATATCAGTAGCTAGCTAATCACATTGAGAGCACCCTTAGTTTCTAAGTGTAGCGATTATCTATATTTAATATGAGTAGTTCATGTCTCATTTAGCTTCTTATCCTATTAGTCTGTATAATTATCATCTGCTATGAATGACCAGATTAGTACAGTATGGGGTGTGAAATACTCATATTTTTGATATCTATTCTGGTGTTATGTATTATTAGAGAAAACTATAGTGGATTGGCATATGTTTTTAAAGAGGTATTTTACACTCTATACTATATACATCCTAAAATCTTATGAATTTCTTGTTTGCTTAAATTATATGTAGCATTTCATATTTTAATATATTGTACGTATATCCAATATTTATTTATCTGAATTCTGTATTGTTGTTCAATTAGGCTTACATTCTAGTTTAGCATGACAATATCACACAGCTACGTACTTATTTTTTAAAATAAAATTTTTAGAAAACCATACTGATCAATTTTGGTAGAAAAATTTTTATTTTAATTCTATAGTATTGTATAATTAAAATAAAAAAAAAAAGTACATTGAATTTAGTTTGGTAGTTATCAAGAAATCATCGTTAAAAGTTTTAAGAAACTTTAAAATATCTTAGAAAAAAACTAAAATCGATTAAATTTATCTTTCTTTGAAATTTAAACAAAGATTTCTCGAATTTGAACAGTTGGTTGTTGAGGAATATTTTGTTAGAAGTTATAAAATTTTGTGAGTTCATAGAATTAAAATTAAAAAAAAAAATTTTTAATCGAATTTGAATAGCTGCTTATTGAAAATATTCGTTAAAAAAAATTTTTTTTATGACATCTAAACTTTGAACAAAGATTACTCAACACTTACCTCATTAAATTCAATAATTTTTTATATTTATTTTAGTTCTACAATCTCATAAATTAAATAAAAATAATTTGATCAAATTTGACCAGCTAAGTGTTGGGTAATATTTGTTCAAAGTTTAGATGTCGTTAGAAAAATAAGCTGCAGCTATATATATATATATATTTTTTAACGAATATTTCTCAATAACCAGCTATTCAAATTCGATTAAAATTTTTTTTTTAATTTTAATTCTATGAACTCACAAAATTAAAAAAAACATTCGTCAATTTTTAATAGTTGGTTGTTGAGAAATCTTTGTTTAAATTTTTAGTGATGATTTCTCGATAACTACTAAACTAAATTCAATGTACTTTTTTTTTTTATTTTAATAATACGAATGTGTAGAATTAAAATAAAAAAAATAAATTTTAAAGAATTTGGTCTGGTTGGTTTTCAAGAAAACTTTTACATGTATCATAACTCATGATGAATTTTGATTAATCGATCCCTAGACACATCTTGATGCCTCTCACATATCAGATAGTTGATTTACGCTGCAATTCCCGTATTGTTATATAAATTTATGCAAATTTGAAGTGGATATATTCAAATTATTTCTCATCCTGTAGCTCAGTGGATTAAACTGTGGGAAGCTCATTGGGTCTTCCTCTCCTCACTATGCAGACAATGATAATTTGACAATCGTGCCCTCAAAGCAGTTTTTTTTTAATAAGTGTAGGAAAAAAATAAATATATAAATTCAGAAATCTATTACCTAGAGTTATAGATCAGTGAAGTATAATAAAAAAAAGAGGTGGATATATTCAAACTATTTCTCATCTTGTAGCTCAGTGGACTAAACCGCGAGAAGCTCATCAGGTCTTCCTCTCCTCGCTACGTAGACAATTATAATCTGACGATCGCGCCCTCAATAATAGTGTTTTTATAAATGTAGAAAGAAAAAAAAATAAATAAAATATATGACATGCTCTCAAAGGAGGGAGTACGTAGATCCTAAACCTTTTAATGCGAGTCCCTGCATCATATTATTTTATAGGACATAATATACTTAGTCAGAGGCCCTATCACTTCAAAAATAGAAACGAAATTTTTTGCTTGAAAATGAAAAAAAGATTTATATATACTCAAGTAATATTTCAAGGTGGTATGTGGCTTGGTATATTTGGTGTTAGCTAGGATATACATACGTATACGTACAATAAATTTTGGATGTGTATAATTGATGGCCTCAATTATCTGTTTGTTTTTAAGGGACGGTTACTTGATAAGCCATAAATATTTGTACAATTTTCGATATTACATAGTACAGTATTAGGTGTTGGATGTTTGATCAACATATATGTCATACGTGGGAACAGAATTGTACTTAGTGGGTTTAAATCTACTTAAGTTTGATTACCGGTACACATAGGTTGTAATACGTAGAATTCAGCAGTATGGACAAACCGACAATTTAATAAAAATTTTTTTTCTTTTTTATACGCTTTAAAGTACTTTTTATGTAGGTAGGGTTGTTGGCGCAAGGTAGATAGCATTGCCAATGGTCTTTCAAAATTGGGCGCATGCTAATTTAGGTATCGCAAAGATGGCAAGCCAATCACAATAAAGTTTAGTCTTAATACATTTTTTCATAAATTTAATTTTTCGAGTGTTATACGTAGCATTAAAAAAAAAGTTCCAGCGTCACTATAATTGAGATTCAGTTGTACATATAAAATTTCTAATTAGTAATAATATATTGGATAATACATAATAAAATATAATTAGAAAATTATGCAACTGCATCTCTATTATGACAATATAGGAATAATGAGTTTCAAGAAATTTATGCGGAAAGTGAAAATTCATCAGATTTATTTTTAGAACAACTTACTAATTTTGATATTGAAGAGTTAACACTAGAATCGAACGAAAGAGAAAATATAACTAGAAATGAAATTACAAATCAATGGACTTTAGATAAAATTTTAAGCAAAAATAATGTTTAAAATTTACATATAGTAAGTATATATATTTTTTATTATTTGAATACTAAATCAATAAGTAGTTAATGCGTTAGTAAATCAAAAAAAAAAAAACAAAAAAAGAAAGAATATTCTTTTGATACTTATCAAGGATTAGAATCACAAAATAATTATGTAGCACAAATAGTTAAAACAATGAAAAGTCTATAATTAATTTAAAGCTAATTATAATTTATGATATAATGATATGGAGTTAATAAGAAAATGAAAATAAGAAGTGCTTTTTTCTTAATTAATCGAATAAAATAAGTACACTTGCTCTAGTTACTGTCTTAGTATTAGTTTAAGCGAAAATTGCTAGTACATGCTATTAGAGTAATCTATTATAAGTTAGAGCTAGCTTTTACTACTAGGTAACAATAACAGAGTAAAAGATAACCTCTTTTAATGAATAAAACTTATATTTAAAGTTAAAATTTATTAAAAATTATATAAATGGTGCACCATATGGCATGCCATGTGCTAAAAAATATTAATGGCATGCCATTGGCATGCCATTAAGAAATTTTTGTGCTAACAACCCTAATGTTAAGGTTGTTATAGACCGATTGAAATAACTTTATCAAAAAGCCATAGTGCTTATGAAATAATAAATAATGAATTAAAATATACTGGTGCAAAATAAAAGATCAAAAGCTACCAAGTGATTTCTCACTAGAACCGATATATAGTGTACTAATATAATACAATATAGAATACTCATATCTGACTCTCTTTAAACAATTCAAGCACTTATTGCTATATTGTACAATAAAAATTTTTATAATTTTTATAAATTTTCATTTTTGTTTTATCAAAACTTACCAATTGGCAAAATAATAAAGATTTTTGACAATTCAGGATTTAGAGCTATCGAGATTTTGTTAATGTCGAAATTTTGACATCGAATTTTTGACTTGTCGAGATCTTGTCACTGTCGGGATTTTGTCTCTGTTTGGTATGTTGCGGGATTTTGAACTGTCGATATTGTGTTATTGTCGGGATTTTAACTTGTTGAGATTTTAATTGTCAAAATTTTGTCTATGTCGGGATTAAGCCTGTTGAGATTCTAGACTGTCAGGATTTTGGATGTCTGGATTTTTTGGTAGAACCATTGTTAAAGATGTCATTGATGTCAATGATGCTTGGCGAGATGAATTTTTGGTAATACGAGATGGAAGGTTCTGATGGAAAGATACCTGATTGTGCACGAAAACATGTAATCATCATAGAAATTCTCTTGTGCTTTTTCAAAAGTTATAAAAACCCTTGATCTTTGACCTTCGAAAAGGGTAATCAGGATATAGATGATTTTAATAACACTAGTTGAAAATAGAAATAACGATACAAATCGTCAAACATTCAGCATTCTATTCGTCAACCATTCGGCAACTATTCGTCAAACATTTAGCTGCTGTTTGGTACAATCACTGCCACTCGGTATTAACAAATACCGAGTGACAGCGATTGTACCAAACGATAGCTAAATGTTTGATGAATGGTTGCCGAATGGTTGACGAATAGAATGCCGAATATTTGACGATTTGTGTCGTTATTTCTATTTTCAACCAGTGTAAAGAAACAAGCCTATTTATAAATAAACGAATCTATTTATTTTTATTGTGAACGCATCCTCAAAAAATTGTTATTGTATTGTTACTATATCGTGAATACATCTTCACTATATTATTTTATTATCGTATTATTAAATTATTGTAAATACATCTTCACAAAATTATTTTTGCATTGTTATAATATCGTGAACACATCTTCACGAGTTTGTCTTTATTGTAGTATTGTTACTGTGCTAGATTTCAATATGCCTTCGAACTTATCAAGTTATGGTGCAGGAAGTCTATACTTAACAGTTACATGAAGTGTTTCAATTTTTTAAATGGCTATAACTTTTTATCTAAGAGGTTTTAAAAAAATCTGACCAGTAACTTTATAGAGCTATATCAGCTCTACATATG